TTTTTTTTTTTTTTTTTTTTTTGGGGGGGGGGTTTATTTCTAAATCATGCGTGTAATACTTTACAACTTCTCGAGGGTGTCAGAAGTACCGCATTTCGTAACTTTTGCCTAATACATTTTCCAAATCCAACTTAGGTGTGTCATCAGGAAGAAACCGCTCACATACTACAGCAGTCAAAGATCGTTGGCCAGAGGATAGAAACAGGTAAAGGTTTTATTTCAGGACACTACTCATTAAATGGGTATATTTTATTCCAAGCAGCTTATTTATTGATTTTCAGAGGTCTGGAAACTCAAGCACCACTTACTATGGGAGAAGATGATGACGAGCACACAGGAATTCATGGAAAGTGCACTCCCGTCGTATACGATAAAGAACATCAGGAAAAACCGAAATATAAACGGCAGGAATTTATGAGGTATACAACTGACGTACTTGGACGTTTATGCCATCGTAGAATCTTATAAAGACTAATCGCAGAAAGAAATGTAGCTTTATTTAAACGCCAACAAATAAAACACTTCGTTTATCGCTTTCCTATAAAACTTCACAAAGTACTACAAGAAATGATGAGATAGACGTTATAAAAATACATTTTTTTCAAGACCAAAGTATGGAGCCGTTAGCTTCGACGTTATTGATGCTGTTAATGCTCGTTTGGCTGCAGCTAGTGGAAACACAGATATCTTTGCTAATATGCGAGTGGAGACCTCTCTCGAAAATGTCAAAAAAGACGAAAAGTGTGGCGATGTTGAAGTTAGTTCACTGTTTCCCAATTATCTGATCATTAAAACCGTAAGTAGGTTTATTCTTATAACTTTTAGGCAAGCTTCCAGCTTCCTGCAAATGTGTTAAGGCCGATAGTCGTAGAACCAGTCGCAGAAACTACCACGTGCGTTGCTCGACCAAAGCTTACGCATCAAATTTCAGCAGATCGTACATCTAAAAGCAATCGTTCGATAACTGTATAATTTTCATTTGTGTTTTTCGTTTTCCTTTGGTTTTAAAGTACAGTACTAATCTTCTTCTCCACTTTATAACATTCAAGCTTCAAACATTAGAAGTTGCTTTGCAGTTTTGTTGCATAGTTAGAAAAAAGTATAACATCTTACAGCAGTTTTTTTCATTCACCTATATAAGCCTTTCAACTACATCATGGCACAGATTTCAAACGGAAAACGGTATGGCAGAAAACTAAATTATTTAAATACGTCTGTAGAAGGAACGTATGCTCAGGCAGATGATGACGCATGTGGCAGTTCACATCTGAAGGCACAAACGATCGTCAGTCGCTGGCACAGTTAGTATTTGTTTGAAGTCTTTCTCCTTTCTTCTTTATCTTCGTCATAGTCCATTCAGTATGAGTGTTGCAAACTCAGAAGAGTACCGTCGTAGATCCTGCTTCACTGTTTGTGCGTGATGTGAACTGCTGAGCTGCAGTTAAGTATTAAGAGTCTAGCAATATGCGGCTGATTAGTATGGTGAAATTGTGACTGACTTTACGTTAGTGGTTGAAGTAATCTGAAATAACTTCTCTTTATACTTTTAATTATAATTCTTTTTTGTCCTCATCACCACCTGTTACCTTCGATAGGGTAGATAACACTGGAACGGAACGCTGTCTATACAAGGCAGTCTTTTCCACAGAGGTCTTATAGAATTCGTATTAAGAAACAAAACGCATTAGCGACATACGTCTGTAGTTATATAAATACTGATTATTTTCTCCTAAATCTAGGCTCTTTCGATGAATCGTGTGACGACCCGGAGAATTTAATTGATAATCTACAGATGGAAAAACCTACGAATGCTTCTGGCAAAAAGTCGCCAATATTGCACGAAAATCGTTACACTGGAGTGCGAGCATATCGTAAGGTTTTTACTTCAGATGCATCACAGTTTTGATGTGTGGTTATCCAGTTTTAGTTTTTGCTGCATTACAAGGTGTCTCTACTGTACATTCCATATTCTTGTTTGTTCTTCAATACAGTGATTTATTCTTTCTCATTCGCTGCATATTTCGGAGCTGGAGCAGGGCATAATGATTGTTTCTGCAAGCTTTTCTCTGTAAAAAAATTGATGTTGGTTATTAAGTATAGTTTGGTTTTAAATTGTTGATGAAAGACGAGAGACGATCATTCCTCATAATTAATTTTTTTTTTAGCTAAAAGCAATGTACCGCCTCAAAAGTCATTTGAAAACAACATCTCTCCGACGTCACCAGCTAACGTCCACACTTCTACAGTGGGTACCGTGTACACGCGGCAACCGACGGTACCACCGGTCACCCACGATACAGTTCCCCAGTCTAGCACGCCGCATGCTCGACCTTTCACTTCTCCTCGTCTGATACATTCTAACACCAATCCCTACGAGATACAGCAGTCAACTTCTTCGTCAATCATTTCCCACTTCAAAAATCTTGTTAATGTGAGGCAGTACTTTGGTTGGAAAAAGTTTTATCTAGTTCATTAATAACTAAATTATCTCTAATGGAGACAGTTGAACTGCTGCTGATTTGGCGATTACTGTCGTCTGATTCTGTTCTTCGACGGAAAGTCACCTAGTTAACTGCGTTTTGCGCATCATATTTTGAGTTCAAAAAATTTTTTTTGATTTGAAATCTGATAATTACTTTTATTTCTTGATGTTTTACCGAAGGGAAAGGTAGCTGTGAGTGAAATGGATGAAGTCACTGACAGACAACTGCTTGAAAATAAGCAAAATTCTTTGTTCTTGCATACTCTCTTGTCGTTTTTTGGTCGGTAATTTTTCTTCTGATTCTTCAAAAATCAGTGGAATTTTACCAAATTGGTGTTCACTTAGAACATTTGTTGTTTTGAGAAAAGAGACACTAATGAACGGTTGTGCCACGCGTGAAGATTAGATAGATTTTTTAGTAATCGTTTTTTGCTGGTGCGGTAGATATACGCTAGAAAAGAAGAGTTGTTGAAATCGGAAATGGCAATCAATTGAACAGTTTTTGGACAGAAATTTTTCATAGTTTGAGGACATTTGGAAGTTAAATGAAATTGTCCTGAAGTTATGTTGTGAAAGATTGGCAGCAGTTCAGTTGCTTCGAAAAGAATAAAAAGGCTTTATAATGGAACTCGATAACGGAAAGGCTTGGACAGTCTTTGCGATGTAGTTGAAAGGCTTTTGTTTGCTGCCAACTTGTGAATGTCATTTTTAAATTTCTACTTATGCAACAGCTAGTAGTACATTTATTTCTTTAGACATTTAATGGATTGAACGGAACCAATTCTAATGCGCATCATCGATCTCTGTCTAGAGGTGCATCTGAGGATAATAAATCCGTGCAGTTTTTGAAAACAGTAGGAAGTAACAAAGCACCTTTTACATCTGTAGCATCTGATTCATTACAGAAACTGTTGCCATCGCTTGGTTCCACAAAGGTTGGTTAGCATTTTTTAGTGTAATTTTCTATGAGCACTACTGTGGATCTGAAAAATGTTGAGCAAAAGTAAATAATTTGTTTAGGTTATAACGACGTTGGGTAACGCTGAAGAAGAAAAAGAGTTGCGGAGGCAAAGGCGAATGAGGCGACGTTCCGATTGTCAGTTCACCGTACCGCAGAATGGGGTTTGTTGCCTTTTTTTCTATTTTCTTGACATCATTATTTGGGCAAACTGTACGTAAAATTGGCAAGTTCACTGGGTGCGTTTTTTTTTTGTAAAAATACCATTTTTTGACAAATATAACTGAGAAGGTCTTTGTTCTTTTCCATTTTATCACACTGGCTGTCAGATAATGATTTTTGCAACAAGCAGTTATTTGACCGTTCCTTAATGTGCGTATTTTACCAATATTTAAGGATCATTCATTTGTAATTGTACCAATATTTTTTCTCTAAAGTTGTTCTTGGAAACTGCAGAAAAAAGATAGCATTTTAATGTTCAGGTTGAAGCAACATCGGCTGTGAAAGTAGAAGATGGTGTTAATGCCAATAAAAATATTGTCACTGTCAACGGTAAACCGTCACAGGAATCTGTATCAAAGAATATTGTAATCAAAGATGAAGGCATAGTAAAGGCAAAAATTGAAGAACCGTTTGAAAAGTCGAAAAAACCTTTACAAATATGCAGGTCAAGCAAATTTGGTTTTTCTTTTTTCTTCCTCTCCTGTAATAGGTGACCTTGATCATCAGTTAGGTGAAGAGGTAGAAGAAGGGGAAAGGTATAAGTCTGTAAATTTTTTTTTTTTTTGCTGTCTTTTTTCCATTTTTAATGACTTTAAAATAGC